AACTTGCCTTTTATTGTGCCAGATTTGGATTCGGGAACATTGGTGCACACGAGAGTTAACGCAGCATGGTTTTGTCTAGTGAGCGTTGGCTTTATACTTTTTGCTGGCAAATCGGGTTGTTTACAAGGTACCGCTGGATTTGACGATGAAAGCTGCTTTGCGCCACGCGTGCTTGTACTGAAGATGGACCTATGTGTGTCGCTCTCGGTGTGTTTATCGACGCAATCGATGCGTACTTTACCTGCTTATTATCTGCACCGGATTGCCTTCGGCTCTGAGCTGTAGGGCGTCATGGCTGAATCTCCAAGTGAAGCGTCTATGGTTGGAAAAAAGTGGAAGCAGGCATGTTTTAAGCTTGTACGCTTATGGGAGTGACGTGACCCAATGGATTTAGAGTCACAGACGCTGCAGTGCGGGAACGCGAAGGTGACCTGCAGTAAAGCACTTGACGCTTTTTGGAGAGTACACAACGAAAGAGACAACAAAGACGACGCGGAGCGGAAGAGCGTACGGAGCCGTCTACGACAACGATGCGTCTGATCCTGAAAAACCGAAGGATGTGACACGATTGTGCAAGCAAAATGCTAGCTTGCCGCAACCAAACAGAGCAGTTGATTGGACCCCTGCGCATATATCGTCCGCGCACTGATTAGTTCGCCGGAGCGGGTTTGTTTAGCTGCTTCAAAGAAGAAATTTCATAAGTGTATCAGCGCATTTAGCTATGGAAATTACTTAGTTCTTTATGTCGAGGTTCCTACATGCTTGTCAGGTTAGCATTTTCGCTGAGGTTACTTTGTCGAATAAACCGTTTGTCGCTGGAGGACCGAGTTCTACGACATGAATTGGCCTTGTTATGACCAATCGAATATACACCTGAATCACTTCTCCATACTGCGGCCAATATTTCATCCGCAGGAACCCAGTAACAGTCGAGGACACTGCTACAAACTCAGGGTTCTATGCATGAACAGTGTATCACATCAGCTTTGTATAGAACGAAGAATCGTAAACTTATGGTATACCCTACCCTGAAGTGTTTCAAAATACCTATCGACAAATATTTCGGAAGCCTGTGCTTTTATGAAATGGTGCACATACCATGCAAAAAGTACACCCCATACCTGGAACTAATGATTCAATACAAACTCTTAACTGAACAATGAAAGACAATTACCTGACGAAATACTACCGCCGACAATGCTCAATTAAATGTGTTTGGTTTTTCCTAATTCGATAGAGTTGTAAAGCAACTTTTCTACTTGCTCTTAAATACCGTCTCAGTCCCTTATCTATGCCAAGCATTGCTGTGACAAATATGGACTCACGAATACCGAGGCACAAGCAAGTGGTTGTGATGTAGAACAGAGTGCAGAACAAGTGGTTCTCATAAATGGCAACAAAATCAGTCCGTTGTCCTGGCTGAGACTAATCGATAAAAGACTCATGAAGTCCGGTGGCTGATATATAGCCAAGAGCTTTCGCATTTTGTAGAAATGTGGATAACGTCTAAAGGAATTCAAGTTTGTAAGGCGGTGCGGTCTTCTGGCTCATTATTAGTAAGGGTAACCGACGGTTTTCTACAGGCCTAGCGTTTGACGCTAGCTGACCTCTTAGAAGAATTTAGCGGGCAGTTCACTACCAACATTTTTATCGGGGATAGTAGGTATGCAATCGAACGGTGCATTAGCTTGTTGTAGCTTCCTTGTAAGAAGAAAAGAAATTATCAACCACTGAACTAACAATATTAGGAACCATTTTACGACTTCAAAGTGCCCGCTTGTGCTTGTACTTCGATTTGCTTTCGACTGTCATTTCCGTGCTTACAGAAAGCGCATGGCATATATGAATGCAGCAACTTATTTTGGCTCCATGCACCGGTTTATCCCTTGAACACACACAAATCTGTTCACATATGCGTTGACCTGTTCTACTCCTTTGGTTAGAGTTTAATTCGGCACGCTAAACCTCCACTTTCTCCTTGAAGCATAGTCGACTTTCTGTACACATGCCCTGTTTTTCCGTTTCCTCTATGCAGCTGAACAATGTTGTGCAATTCACTGTTACTCCAATCCGAGCTGCATTGAATATTTCAGTCCGTTATGTCAAACACAAACTATCAACCACGCTGGTACGCAAGAGGTTTGTTTACAAGGTACGTGCAGCTTTACAAGTAGGCAATCGTATCGCCTTTCGCTTGAACTACAGAATAACAAAGTGACAACATCCACAAACATTTTGTACTTGGTGGATGAAGCAAAACATGAAGTTCGTCAGGTTTCTCGACAACTTTGTTTAGTGTCAACTTGGTTACAATACTACACTTTCCACATTTTCATCCATTCATCATTCTTTAGTTTGTGTTCATCTGTGTGACCACTTGTGCTAAAGCGGCACTAAGAAATGAGTCCTTGACCGAATGAGTCACTTTATTTCGTAATACTCCGTCAATTATTTACTCAATGGGAAGACGACAACTTCACTCTGTGTCCGTAAAGGACCTGAAAAAATAACGAACCACTAAGTTTAATGGTGAAGAACAAAATCTGACTAACCACATATTTTGTTTTATTTTCCCACGCTTATCGTGAGTAACGGTGAAACACTGAGTGCTTGTGGAAACTTGTATCACTAGCAATAGGTAGGTTCATCCACAGCAATATTCACCAATTTAAACGCATGACGGTGAACCGGTCGGCTCTGCTTATCAGCTAGGAAAACATCAGCAAATCAACTAAACTACGATATGTTCCGGCATTATGCTCATTATCTGTCAATTCATACTTTGCGGTTGACAGCTGTCAGATAAATACAGATGGTGTTTGGCATATACAAAACTATTTGTTTACACCGGCTTTCAGGTAAAACACTGAAACTGACTCTGAATCCAGAGTTTGATTTTACTAATAGCAGCTACATGTGCCACCTTCAATACAAGCAACCGAAGTTATTGTACACGGTGAAAACCTGGCTGTCAATTAACGGAACATGGCGTATTGGACCCACGGTGTATAATGTACGGCTCTCTACTCCGGACTATCATGATCGACAAAGAGGGAAAGAAACCACAGAAGAACAACTGCATCGGCGAAAGAGGGCAGTGCTGTTACAACATATGCACGGAATTCTACGGCTCTGGAGTCGAAGTATTCGAATTGAACACAAGCTGAGTCATAGATTTCGCACTGACGCTATATTAAACAGGGAGCCGGTTCCGGGACAAATGTTATTGTACAGTCTCAAGTCATTTGATGACTTTGGTACCAAAGCCGTTGAGGTTCACCGCCATCGAGATGAGAAATACGTAACGGTTCAGGTAAGCGATAAAAGATTTTGGCCACAGCGAAGTGATTAACCAATAAGGGGGTTTGGCGAGCTAGTGACACTGAGCAAGGTGTCATTAAATTACTCTAAGTTCAAGTTAAACGGTGAAGTATGCTAGCATAAGATGTGCGATCATTTATCATAGTCTATGTCACTCGGAAACCGTTATTTCCTAAAGCGGGGTTTGAGGTCAGCTCAAAAGTGTCCGACAGGAAATTTTTATCAATATTTCAGATTTCAACAAAACGAACGCACTAAGCACTAATAAGCCGCACATCATCTAGGGATTCGTAATGGTTGTGTTTAAATCCATATGAGTTACACAATAGTAGTATGCTTAGTGCAGGAAGTAGTTCATTTCAGGAAGAATTTACCTGCATAGGGGTGTATAGTTTTCAGTTATTGCACGAGCACTCTGTAGGCAGTTCCAAATCTGTGCTACCGTACTGGTTGCCATGGTCAAGAAATGTAGTGGTCTTTTTAACTTGCAATAAAAATTACATATCCCTACCGTTACTTTGATGCTGTATACACTGTTTGTTTCGATTCCATCAGCGTAAAAATTCAGTGAAGACGCCAGTCATTTTGGGTGGGTAGACAAATAACGACTTACAAAATTTCGCTAACCAATGGGGCTTTGGTGATTATAACATCGCTTCCTTGTGACTACGGGGTCTGCTAAATAGCGCCACCATTTTTATCGGCATAAGGTATCGAACTAAAAACTAACCAAGTTGTGTAGGTGCTTATGCCAGTGTAGTTCAAATCCTGATGGTGGATGCTGTGCTCTCACTGAAAGGAGTAGTTAGTGTTGTCGGGCTCAGTGGTTGCCTAACTTACTCAGCCCCAACTATTTTAGACTGAATCCTTATGGTGTGAATTCACTTGGAGCAGCTTCCAATATGATCAAAAAACCAGCGGTAACCTACTTTCCACAACACTTGCAATAAAATAAATTTACCTTTTAGAGAGACTGTGTTCACATAAACTAAGTGATGGCTAGTGGCTTGTTATCACTGTGAGCACAACAGATCGGGTCTGGAAGCTATATGGTTTATGTTTACCCGTTGATTACTAGCGACAATAGCATCGGTTTCCAATATACTCTTCCATAGTATCTGATCTGACAGAAAAACCTAACTCGAGCCATTGTGAGCAAGTAGTCCCAAACATTATTTAGGTGAGGAAAGTTCACTGTTTAAAGAATGTACCGTTTGTGTTTGTTGTGACGCTGCTCCAATTCATTTCTCTGGTCCGGTTAAATCGACGTTGACATGACTTTCGGAACAAGTAAACCATTGAATCTACCTTCCTGATTTTCTTCTCCATATAGTTTACAAAACCCTTTCTATACAGCACCGATAACTGGGGAAACCAGTCTTGCCATGTAAATATTAGTGATCTTCATCACAGCCAACCGATTTATAATGAGAAGAATAGAATGATCGTGCGCCTAGCTTCTCCCATCAGCAGGAATGAAGACGAGTCGTTCAGTTATGTGCTAGATGACGCCAAGGAGAACACGCACATCAATGTGTCCTGGGATCCAGGTAGGTTTACCCACATGAAATATCTTTATGACTAAACCCACAGGTCTATCTTTGTTGCTATTTTTACAGGACAGGGACATCCGGTACGGACACCTAGCCTAGCGAGAAAAATCCTACAACTTTTGCTTGGGCTTAGACAGCTACTTAATAGTAGTTTGTTATATTTTGCAAAAAATGAGGAATGGTGTTCTAGGAGTCCACAAAGTCCACCCCATCAATTCAAGGTCCAAAATCACCTCTAGTAGGCACTAATAAATGTAATCACGCTATGCTATCGTGATGACTGCAGGGAAACATCATCCGGCTTATTCAACAAGTATAGCACTGCAGAGGCGTGAAGAGTATGTAGCCCGACATCTCGTCACCCAGTATCAGCTCCCATGGTGACACTGAGACTCAGGCCTAGTTCCACAATCTAGAATACTAAGACCCAGTCCCCTACTAGGCTTTGAAGTGTGTAAGAATGTCTAATCGGATGGACTAAACTGACCATCAGAACATAGTGATCAGTCTGGGGGACGCCAATTAAGTGGGGTTGGGGGCTGAACGAACAAGGCTAGCCCTGCCACCTGCGGGACTCCTCAGATTTTCCGAACTTTAGCCACATTAAAATGACCTTGTTCAACCGAATCATACGAAAACCCCATACGTGGAGCAAAGTCGTTATAACTTGTGTCGGCTTAGCTGTGTATATCAAGAAGAATTACGACCAACTTCGGTGTTATTCTTTTGCTTTAGCTCTATTGAGTTTCGAAGCATGTTTTTTTAAAGGGCATAATCATACGCATTTACTATCGTTAGGATATCTTGGCATCGACAGCTTCAGTGAATTATGAACTAGATGTCAGTGGAAGCTATCTCGTTTCAACCGGAAGTATACGTGTTATTGACCTATTTCAGTCAAATCAACGCTTGCTAACAAGCTTGCTATCATTAGGATATCATGAAGTCAATCAGTACACCAGTTGTTGAATAAATTCAGCGCTTTGAAGATTATCCAAATACATTATTTGTAGGTTCCTAATACCTAAGAATTTCGTGTGCTTTGGTTATAGGAACGGACGCATCCTTCCTCCGATCAGCACTGTGTGACCAAGAGATGCCACTAAGTTTTAAGTCAAGTGAAATATTCAGCTTACACAAACCTGGAAGTATTGTTGACCAGTCCGAATTGTACACCACAGTTAACAAAGTGAAAACGCAGACAGCCGCGAGGACTGAGCGGTGTGATTATCGTGAAGCCTGGAGTATTACACTGAATGGTGAGATTTTGAATATGTGTTAAAAGTGTAGCTAATATATATTCTCCGGTAGAGAATTTCTTGATACCTAACGTGACGTTCATAATTAGGCATACATATGATCAAGAAATAAAAAAGCCCCTTTTGTCTTGCTAAACCACTTTAGTCTCTGTGGTACATCCTTCAACTTTGATCTATCGTGCAACTAGTTTGAATTTATCAAATATTTGGTCCCTAAATTAGCACTTGGAGTACACGCCGTGTTGTTGGATTGCGCTACGCAATATCTTTTGAGAACTCGGTTCCCTTTGAAGTAGGCCTCGGTCATTCCGACAACAAGAACCGTATCCGAAATGGAGGTGTTGCGGTGTTATTCCTCCCAACACTGGCACAGCACGACCGCCGTTTCCTCCTTGTTTGTACTCATCAGATGTGGATAGCTTGAGTTGGGGTGGATAAAGGCTAACCCCTTGATCACTATGCCACTAAAATCCGTGACCAATGCTTGGCACAAGAAAACTGAATTCAAAATTGGTCCTCAGTTGAAGTGTTGCAAACTATCCCGCTTAGTATTGATGAGTACGAATTGGTAAATTCAATTTACAAGTTTGTAGGTGCTCAGATAGTACATAAAGTTATCATCTTGTATCGCACGTATTTCCACAGTTTTAGAACACTTAGCTTACTATAGGCTTCCCCCTTATTTATTCCGTGTTTATGTGAACAGTCGTTTCCATTCACACATCGGTAACTGGTTTCGGTTTCGGGAATGAAGAAAAATCAGTTCGCAGCAACCATGAGTAAATCGTATACACTTTAAAATTCATTTATGAAATGCCGCTTCCCATCCACCACAAATAACAGGTAATTTCACCATGACTATAACATCACCGTTCCCTTTGTTCAAACCTATGTCCTCAAGCAAAGAACAAGTTTTCTTCCTCTGGCACTTCATGGCACAGCTACGCAGGTGGAGAAGCTACGCGTCGGTTCACTTATTGACTGAACAGAAAACAGAGCCTTGAGAGATGACAGCGGTTAGTGACCTTGTCAAAACTCCGGTTGGTGGATGCCGTAGATGTCAACGTTTGACTTGTTTTCGACCACAACAGCTACGTAGTCCGGATCGTTGGTTAGGAGGTGTCACTACTGACCTACCTTACTTAGCCTTTTTATGCGCTTTGATTAATGTATAACGAGGTGTGTGGATACACCCATTAGGTGCGATGTATGTTCAAAGTCAGTACACTATTCAGTGTTCTGAGGAATGATCAAAGGAGGAAGTTTGCTTTAGTTAACCCCGGAGGTAAGTGGCTGCACAGTCAGGTAGACGCAGCATAACCAAACCGCGTTGTGATAAACACACATTTTCCTGTGATAAAAGAGTGTAAGAAAGCATTCAAGTGTCCAGCGTGTACGTCATTTCAGCTTGGTGTTAAGAAAATCAACGCTTTACAAAGGATGTGGAGTATGTTGAATCTGTCGAAACAAGAGTATTAAATTTTCTTAAAACCAAATTTGGAGACTATTTTATAGTTTGGCTTGACCAATGCCTCGCATGCCAAGTCAAAATGGATCATGGTAAGCTATAAGTCATGGATCTGAAAGAGATAATCCGTTGTCCTTCCCCACTTAGTTTACTCTAACCTGTGTTGCTTTCCACGTATAGACCAGAGGAAGATGTAAATTAGGAATGAAGTACTGGGAATAAAATCCTATGCATTACTTCAACACAATGAACAAAGAGAAATGATTTATAACTGACAAAAAGCAATGGCTTGATAAATCCCGTTGAATGACCAGATTAAGGGTTACAAAACAAAGTTAAACATTTTAGATGAACCAGGGGGAAATTTGGGTTTCCTGTGACTCTTCAAGCTATCCATATAATCACTGCTCAGATGCTTCCTCCCTGCTTCGCTATGAGGAGGGCGCGTGAGCATACTATTTGGTTCGTGTTTCGTCAGCTGAATGAAACAAATCATATCAGGTAATGCAAGTGGGACAATGGGTCATTAAAGCATTTTATGAAAAATGTTAATGTTTGGGGTAAAAATGGGATGACTTAGAAGAGTGTTCCAGGTTTAGGATACCCGAAGGGAGGACATGATTGTCTGCAATCAAGTCGACTGTACTGCGTGGCAAGTTTAATCTGGTTTTCTCTCAGTTTAGTAATGTATCTGACTTGCAGCAGTTCGCGACAGGTGTGCTCTGGCTTCGTCACTATTAGGTAAACCATGAAAGGTCTTCTCGCGGTCGCAGATGCTCACAACTGCAACTCCAGGACTTGCAGTTTGCAGTGGAAGGGGAGTTGAAGAAAACCCCTAGCGAATTTTGCTGGTCTACATTTTGGAGCTTCAAGCACATGAATTTCATGTGTGCGCCATGGACGCCAGACTTAGATAACGTATTCCAAATGGGTCTTCATGTAAGCGTTCAGCAATTGCGGAAAGATAGGTGGCTCGAAATATCCGAAAGCCCTGCGCGTGAGTCCAAGGTGCTGACTGGCTGTAGTAACTCCTTTCGGCCCTGTTTAGAGCAGCCGAGGTCATCCTGCCCAATTATCTTGAGATCACTTTCCTGGGAAGCCCGTTGCAACTACTGCTCCCAAGTCGATATTTATGAGTAAGCTGACGGCGTATGCTCACGACTTTACGTTCCATCAGGTTGAACTGCGGCATGAAAAATGTGGCTGAGAGACGTGGTCAGGCTAGTACGTGGATGGGGGCCTTGATGTGGTCCATACCAATGGTTGGAGATCCTGTCAGACATGGCAAACTCGGCAATGGGTTGCGTTCCTGCATTTAGTTTTCTTTGCATCTGACTGTTAATTTACATTTCAGGCTGATTAATTTAATGCATCTTCTTCTTGGTGTCATTATACTTACATTCTATTTGCTTTCAAGCCCACTATCTTTTTCTTCTTGAGAAGTGAGTCATAAAAGTCCTGATCCACCGCCCCTCGGTGCTCGGATCAGTTGTTCAACTAAACTGCTGAAGCCGGCTTTCGGATAACTTCGTATGGACCATATCCAGAGCTCTCTGCAGTTCCGCATGATCGTCCACTCTCTTGATTTCCTGCCAGAACTTGCTATCATCTGCAAATTGTAAGATGTCCGACAGGAGTTAGGAACAAACGTAGACCCAATTGTTATATAAACTGTTCTCTGAGCTAGGCAATTATGTTGCCAACGTTGTATCATCAGTTTCCTCATCAGTGTGTTAGTGCCTAGTGCAGTGTGTCATTGCGTGGATTAGTGTGAACCGGGTGGTCAGGCGCGTGCGCTTTTATAGATCATTGTCTTTGGCCGTTTGGGTATGTGACCTTCGTGAACCGTCCACCTACCAATTGAACAACCTGAGTTACCAACATTTACTTCTATAGCAAACGTGGAGTAAGTACAGTTCTTTGGAACACACCACACTGGGAATCATTTAGGTAAGAAATGGAGCTGCGGACTCTCGTATTCAGCTTGCGTGGAATAAAGAAGTAGCTTATCCAACCCAACACAAGGTCACCAATTCCATAGATTTAAAGCACGGGAAGCAGAATGCGGTGTACCAGCCGGAGGAGGTAGACGACCTCGACTCTTACTCTGACATCTACTAATTCGGTCCAATTTGCTCTAGCTTGCAGCAAGTTTTGCGTACAGGACCAACCGGCGGAATCCGTGCTGCTGTGACACTATGTTTTGGTTACCTTCAAGGTATACCATGAACGCCTCTCTGGTAATACCACCTATCAGTTTGGAAAACACCGGGAGGAAAATGATTGGAAAGTAATTTTAGGGCCCCGCACAATTCCTACTCTGCTAAATATGCGTGACTATTCCATGGTTCCATATTGTTGGAATCTGCATTTCCCCCAAGGTCTCATTGAAAGAACCGAACTAACGGTTCGACGAGGTACGTGGCAGCTGTCTTTAATGCTTTCGTCGTATGTCGTCCGCGCACGTGCAAGGACAATGGTCTTTACATCACAACTGCTGCAGTGAAAAATACGAGACTTAACTCTGGGCTGCAGAGAGCTGTTTCAAAAGCGGGTGGGATGACGACTCACCATATGAACTGGGGGAAAATATCTATCCAGGCGACATCTGGAGGTTGCTCACCTAGGAAGGGCTAGTTGGGTTCTTGGATGAGTCCAAACAGGGAGTAGTAACGGCTGAAGTGGTGGCCTTCCTTGTCGACTTCACGTTTGTATATCGTGAAGAAGATGTAACGGAAGAGCTGGGTCGCATGGCCGCTACGACCAAGTGGTGCATCTATGATTATGGAATCGACCATTAGTTCCTGCTTGGTGACAGATGGTTCATCACCCGTTTTGAACCATGTGGGAGAGGTGACATGGTTGAATAGCGGTACATCAACGATTGCTTCTTGCAAGCTCGCTTTGAATTTTCGATGAAAAAAACAAGGACTTCGATTGAATGCAGCTTGAAGTCCTCCATCAGGAGGACGTCAGTGTATGACTGTGCAAGGACTGGCTACATGGTAAAAGCTAGGTGGCGATCCGTTTTCATGGTGGATGTTGGAGGACGGTAAACTGTTGCTAGTGTAAACAATATCACGTCTCTGATGCAGATAGCACTAAACAGGATCAATCACTTGCGTTTCTGAATCGTCGACAAGATCAATATGTAGGTCTTCTCGGTACGAAAGGGTTACGCGGATTCCTCTACTAGATCGATAGTTTCGTGGGGAAATAATGTCGAGTAGAGCTATCTCAGCATCTGTGATCTCCGTATTCAGCTATGTTTCAGTTACCATAACTATGTCCCAAGGAGTGGAAGCCTGACGAATACGAAGCCAGGTTAACTTATTGAAAAGGGCTTGTGCATTGGCATCCAAGGAACCGAAGGCCTCAGAGGTTTGAAGCCTGTTAGCAGACGCACCTTTGGGATGAAGATTAATGCAGACCTTTTGGGGTCGGCTGCCAATCGTACTTTTGTTAAACCACAGGCGCAAGCTTCAAGGCATTTCGAGTTTGTGTGTACTCAGTTTCCTCGGGTAACTGACAA